TTATTTAAAAACAAAAAGCTTTTGAATAAATTCAGATAATAATATTTGTTGTTTTTTTGCATTTTGTTTACAAAGTATATAAGCACAGGTAACCTTTTGGAAGGAAAAGGAAATAGATTCTCATTTCCAATAGAGTATTTTGTTTCCCTAATCTTTATAACCATTTTGTATTAAAAATTATTCAAATTGGAACAATGGTTATAAAGATATAAATAATTATTTAATTAATTAAAGGTGGTAGTTCTGCGTTTGAATAGAAATTACATGAGCACTGAAAAATGGGGTTTTGGAAAGATGTTATTAAATCGGGTGTAGAACAAGCCATGTACTGGATGAATGCTATCATTGGTTCTTCTCGTTATCACTCCAAACGCACTCATCGGTGTCTTGAAAATACTTACTCTAGTTCAATGTATATAGTATAGAATTATTCGACAACGAGTGTTATCCTCTCAAGTTACACCTTATTCTAAATAAAGCCAAACTAATCTTTTCCGGTGTCTAATATCCCCAGATAAGACAAAGTTTAGAATAAGATCATAGGAGTGACTGAAACTGCAATATTCGTAATCAGACTACTGTTTCTCGCAGGCCACCGAATCCAGACATTTCAGGATTCCCACATGGAGATATAATTGTATGTCCTCGTTCGTATATTCAGATTTCCTTATAGCTGCTGGTAAATCGGACTAAAGATTGTCTAAGGACTTGTTTCTCTATATCTGATCTGGGCTCAATTATCGTAAATGAAAGGGAGCAAAACTAACGGAGAGAATGAGACTTTGGATCTCTACGACAAACCCTCCAGTTTTGCAATTTCGAAACTCTCTGTTGTCGGTTCCCGAGAATTGCTATTATTAAATCTGCGCTGTAGAATTATCAGACCAGATGTTCGTTCATCGGCAATCACTTCCCAGCCACTATTCCTGTATCGAGGCAGACTTCTCCTCCAGAACCATATTTTCATTGTATCTCTGTCTCGAAGTTAATATCCTCCAAGACGTTGTATACCTGGGGTTATCAAATGGTAGAGTTGGGGAATTTAACTACAGCCCCACATAATTTCTTCCAATTGACCCATTTCTCTCGCTTAAGTTCCTCATTTCAAGAATTAGCTGAATATGAAATGGCCAAATATTCCATGGACCATTTCTAGCACTCTATACACACTTGACGCATATCGTACAGGCAGAGCTGTGAGTTTGGCATAGGGACCATAAGCGAGGAACTTTGACGGCGATACTAAACATTGATCATGCACTGCGTACTAAAGACCTTGGACATATAACGATACACCATTACGTCAATATATGATATTACCTGATAATTATTATGCTTGTCGGATCTCTTTATATTGTCGAGCTATAATTGCCATCAAACGGATTCACACCATCTGGTCTACCCCATTTGTCGATATATCATCGTTGTCTCAAGTAGCGACAATAAGAACGACTCCAGGATTCTTGCGCTTGACTATTCGCTCTTTTGAGCTTTGATTCGATTGACCATTACTGAGCAGGATTGCTTGTATGCAATGAAAGCATTATATGTTATGAAACTTTGACAGGAAGTGGTGATAGTTAAATACCCCGCTTGAGGCTAGGATACTGCCGGATTCACCGCACTTGGATAAAAGAGTGGCAGACAGATATCATGTGATCCATAGTTCCAGACTGAAAGTATCTCAAGCGTCTAATTCTTTATGTCGCCAGCAGGACTATAAGATTCAAAAGATCGATCACTCCATGCGTTTCTCTACATTCCCAGCAAGAGTATGTAAAATCAAGACTTTCTTGCGAACAACATTCCACCAGATCTACTCAGACATGGTTAGAGTAATATGGACGATATAGTATTCAAGACACGTCACGTAACAGAAACATGGGAAGAAAAAGAGAACACACAAGATAAGATATCTCAACGTATAGAAGCCTAATCAGCTTTTTGAGCCGACAGATCATACAAGTATTGATATGCAGGTATTACGGAACATTAATGTTGATATGCTGTTTGGTATAAACGCTATTATCCCCTTGAATCGGAAAGTACTAACTCATGACAACTATGCTCGCACACATGTTCCATTGACAGCAAAACATTTCTTGCTCAACTTCTTTACTCTGCCATTAAAACAATCCCATTATTGTATCATCGCTGTCATACCCCAACTACCGTATTCCCGTCAAACCTATCTGCTTCATCATAGTTTGTCCGTCAGATCCTAGATTACTTCCACCATCGCAGTCTCTAATCCCCCATTTTAGACAGCAGATCACCAGTAATAATCAGTCATGAAATCTTTGTTTTCGATGACAGAATCACACACATCTCGAGGACATTCCTCACCGGAGCCATATTGGTGGTAAACACAGTCCAGCGCCTCACGCGGATCTGTAACATGTCCGTCTGAGGCTCGGATCTCTCTTCCTTCCAATAGATCAAGTAGATCTACAAGAAGTTCTTCGTTACTTTGTGCAAGATCACAATCTACCGATGTTTTTCTTTCCTCCCATGGTCGCTCTGATTCATTCTCCTGGACGATGAAAGCGATCAAGTCGATCAAGAAAAGTCTGGTCTTCGATTTTGGAGAAGTATTTTCGTGGCACTGTCGAACGTGGTAGATGCCTAATGGTGATCTTTCCTCTTTGGTAGCCTCGATCAGAAGTCTGAGAACCTCATCTTGAAACACATCAAGCGCGTACTTATCAGCGAAATAGATGAGTCTCAAAAGAGTATCGATAGTTCGAAGTCTATCCTCTCGCGTACAATTCTGAATTTGGAACAGCTTATACCTATTCAACGGCTTCATGTTACGAGCCGTAGCCCAGGTGAGGAACATTCCGAAAACATCATTGTCGTCATCGAGTAAAGATGCCGCTGGAAATTTGGTAGGATCCATCAAGCCATACTTGCCAAAAATCTTGTCAAAGAGTTTTCTCTCCTTCCGAACCAGTGTACTACGCAAGAGCCAGCTTTTGCCGTCACGTCCAACTTCTATAGCAAAATCCCATTCACGCTTGGAAAGTACCCTTTCGAAATTAGCATTAATCATTCAGATCAGAGGTGTACTTACTTTTCCCAGCTGAATGTGGACATCATATATGCCGCTGCTGAGCGTTCATCCTCAGCCAGCTTATTGCTGGTAGATTGTGCTGTGTCGGGAGTCTTGACACCGTCCCAAGTACTGTCTGTGGAACTTATGGGTGCTTGCGATACTGTAATGGCTGCCAGTCTATTTGCAAGAGACTGGGCACTATCTGGGGTGTTGACACTGCTCCAGGTGCTGCCTGTCTCGCTGAAGGGGGTCTCTATTGTGATGATTTTAGGTAACGATTTGCGTTTAGAGAGAGTTTGGTTGTGTTATTGAAATCAAACTATTGAAGAGCTGTTGAGATAGTCCTTGAGATTGTGGTGATTATTAAAATTTTATGATGGAAGAGGTTGTAGAAAGTTGGAGGAAAGTTGAAGATGGAGGAGCTTATAAATAAATTTTGAGGGCAGAGTTTTGTACAGCTGGTAGTACCATTTGGAACGAGCGAAAGTAGAGTGCCGTATTGAGTGGTTTCGAGATTGTAACCAATCGTTCCAGATATCAGGTCCGTCCGTATACATTCATTCACCCAATATCGGATTGATGAATACGGTACGAAGTTCCATATATATCTGTTGGAAGTAAATATGTAGTATCATTGTTGCTGTACTAAAGGTATATACTACAAGAGGATTAAGGTGTAGTGTAGGTAAATCTAATATGCGCTAGTATTAATATGATCTAGCTAGTCACAAAGCTCCAAGCAATAGTGTAGCACGTGTTTTTAATAATATCAAACGAGATAATTCACTTCATGGAGAATTAGTCGTTCTGCGGAGAAATTATCTAAGACTGTACAGTGTTTGTACGTGGAGAATCTAGATGGAAAGACGGTTTGTTTAATGCTCCATACGAGATCTGGGAGATACCTATGTTGCTATTACTCTTCAAGCTGCCAACGTAGCAGCTAAACCATTTTGTCATCACCTCCTTTCAAAATTGATCAGGGCTGACTTTGGATCTCTCAATGAGCAGCTGCGCTCCAAACTATATAGAATGATTCGATTATTTGATTTGATTGTGAGAAGCTCCGTTCTAGTATCTATATCTTCGTGATTCTCACTTGTAAGCCGTGTGTAGGTTCATCGTTGAATATCGACCACAGAGTACATGAAACTCGATGAAACTAAAGCATATCTCTTAATACTCACGACAGACATATCTAAAGACACAAGCTTGATATGATGATACTATATGCCGATCAAAACCGAAAATCCTCTTGAGTCAAAATCTCTTCAGTCGAGAGTACCTATCTGCCAAGAATTATCCAGCTTTTCGTCTATGACTTCATGTCATTCTGATCAACTCGTTTTCCACTATAATGGCTGTCGGTAAAACAGATCCAATTCCACCGGTTTCGATCATAGACCACGTTGTCCCAATTAATGCTTCGCAATATTCATTCCACATGAAAATGTTCAGATTAGCCGATGAAGGGTCCTTAGGCCAAGGACCTTGGGACAAGTACTTTGCCTCAAGGTGGCAAGATAGTAGAAACCTCTTAAATGGCTGATGCCTCCTTGAAGATAACTCTCACAATGAAAGTTGCGAAGTGAGCTCCGAGGGATACCTACAGACAGATTCTAAATCAAAATTACTTGCCAGCTCGAAATTCAAAAACTCTAGGTGTGTTAAAAAAGGGATCTTCCATGTCATAATGATGTGCAGACCATATAATATGAGTCAGAATACGGCAATCAATCAATCATGCGACTACAGCTAACTCCCTTAGCTGATTAAATCGTACTTTCCACAATCGTCCGACGTGGTTTTGTTGTGATTTTTGAAGACTTTGTGACCTCTGTACTGTTACATCCTGAATGTGGCCTTGGAATCAAAGAAGGATGGAGCAATAAAACCTTTGTATCTAGCGCTGGCTTGACATAAACCTAATGGCTTCGCTCAAATCCGTCAGTAAGATGGTTTGAATGAAGAATCTTCTCAAGAGTTATATCTAGTGGCAATATCAACTACCGCACCGGATCGAGAGGCTTATGCTGCCATCAAAAAAGAGGAAGTATAAGGTGTAGAGTAGAGTATGAAAGTCAGTAATTAGATTTATGATTCTAAAGTAGCAGTAGCGAGCGAGCCCCTGAAAGTCACGACTAAGACATAAGATATAAAGCACGCCATCTGAGCCCTTACAATTGATCTTCTGAGTCTTTACGTCTTGTTAATAGCTCGCGTGACATTGGTTTCAACCTGTGATGGACAAATGATTGTGCCTGACTAGATATATAATTAGTAGTCATCAACTACAAACAGCTGAGTTTCTCTAAAAGCCACCATTTTTACCCCTATATCTGCAAACGACTCATACCTGGTGGTCTATTCAACATGACCTACGTCCTGTCATACCAAAATTGATTGGTATACCGAAGACCATAATTTATTTTCAAGAGTCACGAGTACTTTGGAAATGAGAATGGCAAACACCGTCGGAATCTGTTTAGCATCCCGTGACAGCCTTACTTTAAGCACACATGCAATTTAGCCATCAAAGTGAATAAATAAATCGATGCTTGTTGTGTATACCTTGGTTAATTTTCAGTAGATCCTCAATCAGACTAATCCCTCAGACTTCACAGCCCTTTCACTCTCTCTCCTGACCATCTTTCCATCTTCCATCTTCCATCTTCCCTCATACCACCACCACAATCACTTTCAACACTATCCATAAACCACTAGCATATAACAATCAGCCAAACTATCCCGATATTTTTCCCGCTCAACCCATCTTTTACTATCAGATGTCATCTCTTGTCTGTCTCCCTATACTCGAGTATTGCAAAGCATTTCAATACTCACAACTCACAACTCACAACTAACTACACAACTACTATAGATTCACCAAACCTAAACTCGTATTATAATATTATAATCTAATCTTATAATCTAATCTAATCTAATAAGTTTACAATAACTTAACTACTCAACAACTGATAAGTCACACATTACCGCTTTCTACTCAAATACGTACTATATCAAACCTTGCCATCCTCCATCCTCCATCCTTAAATCTCACACCCATACACCCATACACCATACCATACACCCATACTCAATACACATCTCCGAGTCCCAATACTATATCAATCAATCAATCAAAACATAAAAGTAAAAGCAACTTTGATAAAAAAATATATATATATATTCTAAGAATTGAAATCTCTGATAATCAGCTCTCACTTTTCCCCCACACACACATTAGTTATACTCGAGTATTTCTTGATAAATAGCTTTATAGGTGAACATACTAGTAGGGATTTTTAGGGGTTAGGAGAGGATAGGAGAGAAAGAGGTGAAGAGAGGTGAAGAGAGGAGTTTTTTTGTATATGCTGTCAAGTACCTTTCACCTCTCACCTCTCCCCTCTTCTTCCCCTCTTCTTCCCTCATCACCCCTCTCCTTCATGACCCCTCACATCCTCCGTCTCTCCTCACTTCATCCTCCCATCTCTAACCCTCTCACCTCCTCCATCCCCTCATCACCCCTCTCCTCTATAACCCCTCCCTTTCCTCTTTTCTTCTCTCACCCCCTTCCCCTCTCATCCTACCCTCACTCTCTCATCCTTCCCTGACGCCCTCAAAATCCATTACTACATCAAAATTAGTATCTATTCATCCACCATCCACCATCTACCATCTACCATCCAATTCATCACAGTATATACTCACTCACATACTCGCACATCCATTACTCAAACATCCATCACTCAAATATCCATTACTCAAATGCCATATCACATCATATCACATCACCTCAAATATTCACTCGTATTCATATTTACTCACCACACCACTCAAAATCAAAATCACATCAACATCAAAATCAAAATCAAAATCACAAAATTTCCCAAAGAGTTTTAAGAAAAAAAAGTCAAAAGTCTTTCAAGCTATCATAATAAATACAGAGAGAAATATTGATCCGAAGAAAAAAAAAGAAAAAATTCCATCCACAAAAGACACAAAGCAAGACACAAGAAAAAAAAACGTTTTATGATTGGAATTTTTGATTGAGCCAAAGGTTTTAAATAAAACTTAAAAAAAAAGCCAATCTCTGTAAACGTGATAAGTCTTTCTTCTGGTTGTATTTTTATCCTCTCCCCTTTCTGTGTGTCATTCTCATGTGCAAAATAAAACTCCTCGAAATACCACTCATTCTTGAATGCAAGATCCCCATTATGGCACTTAACGACCTTGCCTCGCAGAAGCATTGTCGCGCCCGAAATATCGCCCTCCGCCCCATCGCTCGCTTCTTCCACTGCCAAATATTAAGGATCAATGATTAAAGAGACATGAATTGAAAAGTAAAGTTATCGGTTTTGTGTCGTGTCGGTACCATCATAAAAAAAAGGCAGGCCCGGATTATTAAGAGATCATCACCCTTTAACGGAGTGAGAAACCCTTCCTCTTGCCTTCCTTTTCTATTGGTCTTCCACTCTCGACTCTAGATTTCTTCTCCTCGAGTTCTTGACGTTGACGCTCAAGTTGTTCCTTCATCTCGCGATGTCGTGCGTACAACTCTTCCTCGCTCTGCTTCAGCTTGCTCTCCTTTTCTGCGACCTTTTGTTGGAAAACCATCTTCATCTCGGCCTCCATCTTGGCAAGCTTCTGCTCATGCAAGTTACGCTCTTCTTCTTGCTTGACAGCTGGGTTGACCTCCTTGAAGACACTTGGATCTTGAGCAACACCCATAGCAGTAAGCTTACCCGATCTGTAGTTCTCGTACAAAGCATTGTTGGTATGTTCCTTGAGCTCTTCCATGTGGGTTCGGATAAGCATTTGTCTAAGCTTGACAAAGTCACAGTGTTCCTCATTGTCAACTTCAATGGTTCCCCATGGGTATTTACGTCCTCGAACTTTGCGACCCTCACTGTTGGTGATCTCGGAATTGGCACCAACAACTGCGAAAGGCACTTTATCCATAATCTCCTTGTTCTCGGCAATGGTCTCCTCGTCATCCTTTTCGTAATGTGGACCCTCAAAGATTTGGATATCATGGTGTTTGATGTCAGCAAGAATCTAGAATATGGTCAGCTTAAGTTTTGAAATATCCAGTGGAAAGCCTTACTCTAAGCTTAAACGCAGTGATTTCTTCATCGGTCAATGTATCAGCCTTGGCAATGACTGGAATCAAGTTGACCTTGGTATGAAGTCTACGCATAACCTCAATGTCCAAAGGCTTCAATGCATGACCAGTTGGTTGAATGAAGTAAACGCAAGCATGAACACGGTTATCAACAATGTTCATTCGGTTAACCTTATTCTCGGCATCCAAGTAGGCATCGAAGCGTTGCTCAATATTATCAACGATTGGTCGCCAAGACTCATCATTGTTGACGAAATCACCGAAACCTGGGGTATCAACGACGGTCAAACGTAAACGAACACCATTCTCCTCGATATCAGCGCTGATAGATTGAATAGAAACGGTTTTTGGGATAATGTCAAGGGAAGGTCCTTTGCGTTCTCTTGGTGGGTATAAGGAAGTGTTGAAAAGAGTGTTGACCAAAGTCGACTTTCCGAGTCCAGACTCCCCTATTCAAAAAGTTAGCATAAACCCAAATACATATATAGAGGTTACACATACCAACAACCATGACATTAAAGTTGAATCCCTTTCTAACACTCTTTCGGTGCCATTGATTGGGTAGGTTTGCAAATCCAACATATCCAGTCAACTTTCTTCTAACAATGTTCTTCATATCGCTTGCTTGTTGAGCTGCAATCTTTGGATCCGATGAGCTGACGGTCATTGGAATCTCTAGTGGGGACGATGGTGCTCCATTGGGAATTGGAGATGTTCGGGTAGGTGCCATTGGGGCTCCGTTAGTAGCTGTATAAAGAGGTAAAATGTCAGCCCAGTCATTCGAAGTAGTGCTATAATTCTTAGATGCTTGCTGCAGCTTGTCCACGACCCACAACTCCATGGACTCATGGTGATCCATAGAAAGTTGCTCCAAACTTGGAGCTTCTTCGACATCCAGCATGCTTCGAAATTGAGCGCGTCCGCGATCTCCTCCTCGCTGATGACGATGTAAGCTTCCGGGATATTGACGTTGTTCGGTACTCTCCATTGATTGTTTCGGCAATGAGATGATTTTTGACATGCTCTCAGATCGTATTACAGACCATTCGTCATCTCCAGGTTGTTGTCCAGGCGGTGCAGTAGGGGATTTCTTATTGATCATCAGATTCCAGGGACCATTTGAAATTGACTTCATGATTGGCAGATCAGTGTGATAATGAAACTCTTGGTGGCAGATTATTGATAGTTTCCCAGCTCTTTGAAATGAATTTGGAAATGTGCAGGTCCAGCAGACTCGAGATTGAAAGCTTCGTAATTGCAATAATTATGTGTCCAGAAGAATTGTCGGAAAGATTGATGGCACAAGATCGATTCGAATCATTTAGGTTCACCGACCAATTGTTGATTTGATTGTTGATGTTCTAAAGAATCCATCTTCGCCCCAAGTATTGACTTCCTCCAAAATGAAATAAATTGCTTACCCATTGTTATGATTGATGTAGAAGGATCGAAGGGTGGTTGTTGTTGTCGTGAAGAAGAAAGAAGGTGGGAGGTTCTGATTTCTGTTGATACCAAAGATGGGGAAATTAGCTTCTGTGAACGAAAGGATGGGTCGGGTCGCAGTTGAAGAAGGTGAAAGAGAGAGCTTAAACAATAGATCTCTTCACTTCAGAAATATATGTTTTGAAGGTATTTTGAAAGATCGAGGATTGATTTGGATGGGGGTGATGTACAATTCATGCAGGAATACGAATAATCGCAAATAATCGCACGTACCAGATATTAATTCTTTAATCCTCAACAAGTATTGGTTCGCGTCGTCTTTAATGCGGATCAATATCTAATTAGATAAGTAGATACTAGGTATCGTTGTACTGTACTCAGAATGATGTCTGGAAGGTACGATACAAAGTAAAGTAAAAAAGTAAAGTAAAGTAGAGTAGAGTAGAGTAGGTAATTTGTTAAAGAAGAAGGAGATGAAAATAGAAAATTGAGGATTCTAAACGATTGTAGTGAATGTTGATTGATTGAAGGCAGAAGAGAGAAAGAGAGAGGAAAAAAAAAAGGTTGTGTAGGTTGTCAAAGGTCGCACCGTTATGTTATTTGGTGGTTGGTTTGTTGGTTGTTCTTCTTTTTGGTTGGTTTGCTTTGAATTGGTGTGTCCACCACTCTCCCATAGCAAAAGGGGTTGGCTAGGGGTTAAAGGGTAAAAGCTTAAGATTACAAGGATTGGGGGAAATAAATTATTGTCAATGTTAATATAAAAGGTAGACAGATATAGATGCCAGGTGTGTATAAATTCTATGTGGTTTTATGGCTTGACTATTTAATAATCTGAATAAATGATAGTGAATAGTAGGTAATTAGGAGAATAGGAGGAACTAAAATGAAGATATAAACATTGAGTGGGAACAAGAAGTACAGAGATTCCATGATTCCATGTACATCCTAATCCCATCTACAATACCGGTATCCTACCTCATCTATTGATATGTTGAGGTAGCATCAAGTATCAAGCATCAAGTATCAAGCCTCAACTTAAAGTGAGTAGCTAGCTATGTATCAGACTTGGTGATCCTCCAGTAATTCTTCGAGAATGGGGAAATGGATGGACTGCATCATCAAATGAGATGCTGTTAATTGCATCTGTACCAGTCAATCCTACCACTACTGCTGCCAGACCGACCAGTACCGTAAGTCACAACAAGTCACAAGTACTTGCCTGTATGTGGTGCATTGATTTTGTACTCCTATTTTCTGTCAATGCCTTCTTGACTCCCTTCTCGTTCTCCCGATTCTTCCCTCTTTCCCTCTTTTCCCTCTTCTCCTTCTTCTCCTCTTTCTCCTCGTTCTCCTCCTTCTCGTTCTCCTCCCTCTCCTCCTCCCCATCCTCCTCCTTCCCCTTCACATCCGCCTCCCCACAAACTACATGCATCTCAACAAGCTCCCTCTGTGCACCACCCTATCCATCCTATCCATCCCATCCATCCTAATTGTAACCAAGATTCTCCACTGCCGGTACATCCAATACCCCCACGTGACCATCGGTCCATGTCAAGTTCAGATCTCCGCCACGACCAAATGACCACTAATCCAAACTTGGTCAGATGTCTCACTTCATCCCCAATGTTTGTTACTCAACTTTCTCTGGAGAAGCTTCAAAAACAATCCAACCTAAGGTATATATCAAAATAAGTGAATAGATTGCAACAAATACAACAGGCATTCAAACTTAGCTCAGTTGGACAGGACAAATTGTATTGAAGAGTTGGATGAAAAAGAAAAGTGGCCGATGAAAAGATACGAACAACGACTTGAATTAATAAAATCCCTTCGGGGATTTTTCCTAGCCCATCGCAGGCTAGGTTTTTGTCTTTTGTATTACATATATACCAAAACCAAGTAAGATTTACCCCAATTTCATCTCAACCTACGTGACTGTACCTATCTACGAGTACTGACCTACAACCTACAACCTATCCCGCTCTAGCCCCCAATACAATACAATATACGTACGTAGATCGCAATCCCCCTTCCTCCCTCCCTTCCCCCAATATAACTGTCATACAATTTTACAATCCCCCCCTCTCCCTTAACAGAAATCATTGTACTCATAACTTATACCTATACTTTCCATCCCCAAAACACCAAACACCAACTATCAAAGTTCCGGTACACCCTACACCCTATCCCACATTTTCGCCAAACTGCCACCCTCGGAATAATCCTCTGAAACAGCCGGTTTGCCTACCAGCCGGTCTATCTGCCCTATCTGCCTGCCTGCCATCCATCCATCCATCCATCTGAACTTCCCTCAACGCTTCAAATGATCCGATGAATCTAGGTACCCTACTACAACTTAAATATATTCGAACCAAAAAGATACTGTTGTTTATTTAATCACAACTAATCGAATATAATTTTGAATACCTACCGGTATTAGCATCAAGTGATATACGAGTATATCCATGTGGTATCTCCTCCTCTTCCCCCTCCCCCTCCCTTATCCCCTCCCTATAAGTAAGACTTAGACTTACAACCCTCTGAGAGAGAGCCGTGGGCCATGGCCCATCTGCAGGAACCAAATAAATAATCTCTTCTTGGTTTGATATTTTGTATCTTACATATATCATCTACTGAGTACTTGTACTCGTACGAGTATGTATATCACCTACATACACTCACTACCTAACAACTACTACAGTTGAACCACAAGCACCAGTATTAGTAAAACCTCTCTCCTCTCTCCTCTCTCCCCATACCCACATTCCATAATACATAATACTATTACTCGAGTATATTGAATTAACTCTAGACTCTTATCTCTAGTCTTTAACCACTCACTAGTCATCTAATCTAGACTCTAGACTCTTGTCTCTAGACTCTAGTCTCTACAGTCGATACAGTATCAATCAACAACAACAAAAATCATGAGATATAAAATAAATTAAATACAGTACCGGTATCTAAATATATCAATCACCCTCCTAAACTAATTCAATACAAACCAATTCAATCCAGTCCAATCCAACCCAACCCCAACAAGCCGAGCCGAGCCACTCAAATTCTGTTCTTTACACTCGTCAAACCCAACCCCTAAACTCCTCGCCAAAAGAAAGTCTTTATACTAGGTAGTCAGAAACCGAACACCACCGTGACAAGTTATGCTAATATACTCGAGTACACATTACATCACATCATATATATACAAACCCAACCCACAATACATCTCCAGCCCGCCTATTCCCCTTTCCCCCCTTTCCCCCCTCTGAAACCTAACTTCCTATCTTTAAATTCTATATCCTAGATCCAATTATCCTACTTTCTCTTATCCTACACCCTCCACCCAAATATACACAATATCTCCCGCATCAATCCCAATCCCAATCCCACTCACAATCACACTCACATTCACATCTCCTCACCCAAGTTCCACAAAAGTATTCCTCAGATCATTACTCGAGAGTTCCAATGTACCCGCGGGTATACCATCGAAGATTGATTCTGTAGTTGTGAATTCTTGCCAGAAGATGTGGCAGTCTAGATCGGAAGGTATTAGTTCGCATACTAAGATGAAAGTTGTGTGGGTGGGTTGGGGAGGGTACAAGTGAGTTGATGCTAGAGTTGGTGCTAGAGCTATGTGAAATAGCAAACTGTGATACTTTTAAAGGTGAAAAAGGGGTGAGGAAGTTTGGGGGGGGGGTTAAACGAGAAAGAGGACAGTTACTAACCCTTAACTTCAGAAAATTCCACATTCAACCCCCTGATACTACTTTTCCCAGAAACATGAGTCGATCTATCCTGAATTCTGTCGTATGCTCCATTTGTAGATTCTGATGAACCGATTGTTGTGATACTACCTTGAGTATTATTTTCTCGGTAACCTAGAGCTATGTGTTCGGGCTACATGTAATGTTCGGCCGTCAAGATTCTCTAGTGTGATGACTTTTTCGTTTTGGGTTCTTTTGGTTCTTTAAATACCAATACTGGATTTTGGGCGTCAATGATGATCTCAGTGATGTAGAAAATTGGTACGTACCAGGCCATTCCTCAAAGCCGGATATATGGTCCGAAGATTTGCGAAAATAGAGGATATAGCGAATGCGGGAAATTGGGTCACGAAGGATTCGGATTGTAGAAAGGCGACACTGGTATTCCTTGTCTTTCATTGACTTGATCCATTAAACATCAAAGTAATATTTAACTTCTTTGAAAAGTATCATATGTTGAAACTCCAGGAAATCTGGTAATAGTCAGCAATAACTGTGCATAAGGTCTAGAGTGCTATAAAGATAACCTTTCTTGTTGTGGGAGGTATAAATTGGCGGGCAACTGAAGCGCAGGATCTTTGGTTCATGAAATTCGTCGGATTTGGTTACTTTGAGCCGGTGAGAGCCTTGCATTTGGACGCGATATTTATGGGCTTCATCTTTGTGAACGTGACGATTATCGAGGAAAGGTATCATGGACGTTTCTGATGTTGAAGGGCTGGAAGGATCGATTGAGTGGCGAATTTCAGTACGTCCGTCTTAGCTGACAGTGTTTATCATCACGACTTCTGCTGTTTCTCATCGAACGACTAATTGTATAGAACCATTTACTATATGTTTGGGATATTATCTATAATAGAGTAAGTAAGTGATCGAACATCGACGAGCAGTGAAAACTTACAAGTACACCGGAATTGATGGATCGACACGTATTGCCGGTGTGAGTGATGTTAATGTCGTGGACAAAGCTCTCTTATGTCCGGGAAAGCCACCCGAGTCATGCATGGAAGGTAAATGCCCGTAGGTATTACTGGGTCTGTCGTAAGGAACGCCAAGGAATCGACCCATTGGAGACGTACTCAAAGGACTACCAGTGATCGAAGAAGATCCGGTGATTTCCTGGAATGAGCTTCCACTGCTTCGAGGTGATGATTGCGAGCATGGCATCTCTTCAATGGTTTAGTAAGTGTTTGGATGTGAGACTTGAGTTATAATGTGCGCCGGATGCAATATTTCACGTTGAATCCGACTTTCTAATTGGTTCCATGCCTCAAGCTCATGTAGCAAGGCAATTTTAGGTTCAGATATTGATGATGAATGCCCGCTATGAGCCGAGATTTTGATTGAATAGGATGGATCCCTACTGCATCAAATATTTGTCCTCTCATATCTTGTAAACGTGAGATGAGTGGGCCAATTGGTCGTTGTGCCCCTCCCCTTGGCTGTATAGTAGACATAGAATCGATTGCTTCGACTCGCCTCATGGCCAGGTTCTCCAACCTTTGTGATAGAATTTAACGTCTCTCGTCGCGATCGTCTTGTACATTATTATTGATCGAAGATGTTCGTCGCGTGACAGATATAGGTCGATCTTCACCGTGTTGATTTTGCCAAGGATACTGAAGGGCATGGTTGTATTAGTTTGCTCTAAGAGGTTGTGGAGGTACCAAAGCTTGTTCGAGTTGGCGAAGCATAGGATAGTCAATCTGGTGTATTTGTGAACCGGATTCGAGAGGATGTGTTACTCTCTTCGGATTGAGTGTTATCAAGGATACCAAGTCTAGATGAGAGGAGACCAGTTTGTGATTGGACGAAAGTAATTCCTGGTGGGATATGTTACACAACAACCAATTTCCTACAGTATTATTTAGATAATATGATATACTCATTTCTCGGGCTATATTATTTGTATCTTGGGAGACTGAATGGTTTAATGCAGATATTTTGTAAGTGGCTAGACTGAGGTATAGCTCCATCTTTGTGCGAAGCTGGGCAACCTGATCTCGCTCGAATGGCCATGAAACCTGCAGATATAAGATTTTAATCTGTTCTCTCAAGAAGGTAAAGGTCCTTAACCATAAAGGTACCCCTTTTTTGGCGACTGCTGCTTGAGGATTGGCAGTCCGTATCAAGTGTATATGTCTGGAAATAAACTCGACACATTGTTGCTTGAGCTGTGACGGAGCGTCTGCTAGGCTAAAATTCCCTGTCAAGCTTACATTTCGTTGTTCCCAATCGTTTAAGTATTGTATGATGAGGTAGAGTTCTTCAAAAAACTGTTTTGCTTCGACTTTCGCACTCATAGGTCCATCAGAAATGGCTTTCCAAACATCCCATACAGTACCACTTTCAGACCGGAAACGATGTCGCCGGCCGACCACCCAAACCCACTCATTGTGTGTTTCCCGACTAACTTGATAGTCGATGAATCAATATATGAGCGATTCCCATGGGGAAGTACAGTAATGGTTCAACAATGAGGGAACTATAATATTATTGATATTGATACAAATAGGAAACAAAAGGTAATTGAAGCTATGACAACGTTTGCAAGATTTTCAGGGCAGGGTAAGGACAATATCCTGAAGCCTGGGGTAAGAAGTTGATGTGTGACATCACCCAACGGCTTCAACACAGATCGAGACATAAAATAACCATATTTTTGGCGATTCGATGGAAAGGTGAGCTGGAGTGAGAATTCCGAGTCAATTGATGCCAATGTGGAAAGACAATACAAAAGTAGACATGCTCCTGCATCTACAGGATTGACTTACACTGATAGCTGACTAGTTGGCCACTCTGGGGTTAAAGAGAAGTGGGGAGGTAGAGTCTACTGGAGATGGAAGAAAAGTACATTGCCGAGAAATCGAATCACAATACATTGACTTCTTAATTTGAGGAGCGTGACCATTGGTAAGGCTACTCATTAACATATACTGATTTCTCTCATTCCAGTAACAATTGGTCAAGTTTCGCTTTTGCCTCTCTTTATACAAGTGTATATACATATTTGACCTTAGCTATCATAGCTCGATCTACACTTCCTACGCCCGTCATGGATCCAAAAAGACAATTCGTAGTGTTCTTGCCGAAGACCTCTTCAGTCCCGAATTTCTTGCCACCCATCTATTATCTTCTTATTTTTCTGGCGGTATGAGGAATTGCCGGTCACCTCCGGTTTCAGCAAACTCCGGAAATGACTTGGGAAATCTCCATCTAAATTGACATTCGATGTCACGAATTCTGTGGTGAAACCCGTCATACATTATTTTGTACAAGGTTCGTGGATGCGAGGTATACATATCCCACATCCGGAATATTACCTCCCGATAGTCTTCCAATGCGTCGTCTGGTGGTCCTGGAAATAATTCGTGATAATCTTCGGGATAGAAGATTGTCAAGTCGGCGAACTCGTCGCGCTTCACGTAGTGACCATCTCTATCTATCCTCCATGCGTCGTATACAATCGTTAGAAACTCTAATCTTGACATGTAAAATACCGCCCGGAGAAGCAAATAATCTTCCTCCTCTCCAAGCCTCACGTCACGATGATTCACATAAACGTCATGGCGTAAATAATGGTGGCGCTGAAGGTGAAAAACGTCGAGTTGAAATGAACTGTAACTGGCCCGTCCCCATGTTATATGTCCATCAATCGCCAGGTATCGAAACTTTCCAGCTTCCTCTTTAGTGATCGATAGCAGCAAGGCTGCAAGCCGGTCTTGGATTTTCCAGTCCAGGTACAAAGTGTCGATGTTGAAATTGAAGCGAACTCTGGCCTCAACCATGGGTCCGCCAAATAGTTTGGGGTATAGACGCAAAACAAATGCTCTAGAATCTCGACATGCGGTCATCGCAGATGGTAGAGGAGTTCTTGAATAAAATCCGTTGTATTTTCCATACTTCGGCCACACTTCAACCAATCGTGGCTCGAGAGTGAATTTCCAGATCAGACCTTTGATCTCAATGGGTAAGTCGTTGTATAAGGTAAAACGACGCTTCGCCATTAAATATTCCCAGGGTGTAAGAGACCTCATCTTACGGAACGTCGGGGAAAGAGGAGAGTCGAATAAGTTGACATAAGAAAGTTTGGACGAGACAGTAATCTGCTGAATTGTCAATATTCATCATTTGAACCATAAACTGTGTCAAACTAACCTCGGAGAATGACAATGTTTAAGAGAAACGATATTTGAAGTGATGAGACGTTCTCTTCTGCGGATAATGGATGGAATGGACTCAACAATTGATTGAGAATGAGATTGAAAAGAAAGGAAAAGAAAAGCTGTCTCATGTTTGCGAGAGATGGAGACGACTCTCCAGTGTTTAAGGAAGGAACATGCATTTTGTAGTCCCTTCTACTTTGAGGAGTGTGACAATGCTGTCTCGACGACGTAGGTACAAGTTATCAATTCCTACCTGTCATGATTAACTCGTGGTCTGCCCTAAGCGGTGAAGCAGCATGTCATGACTTTGTCATCATACTCGAGTATATGCTAACAACACAACCTACCTCGCTTCACCCGAGCACTACATGAAATACTTCAATTAATCTGGCAATTTCATACTCTTGATAGTATTGACTTAAAAATTGCAATGCATTCATCTCAGCCAATGGAGTAGGATGGGTTGAGCCAGCTCCTCCTGACACGATTGATAGTTCCAAACCTCCATACCGGTATTCATTTTCATTCATGGCCTAACGAAATTATCTGCAAGCGTAGTGATCTAAAGCTTATGATCTTCCATCGAGTAGTGATTTGATACCGGGATTTATATCGGGCCAGTATTGCTCCATCGTTCTGTAAGGTTATGGAAAGGGATGGATTTAGTGTAATGATCGGTGGAAAGTTTAGAGGTGCTGGGCTTGAGGCGGCTAACTTGAGTTGAACAGCTTCCGAGTAAGTATCGCAAGCTTCGCACGGCGAAGGATTATCCATAGGAGGTTGATTGTTCCTAGTTTGGTAGGGGGATGTTACCCAATTATCTGATGTTCTGCTAGGGTCGGGCAAGTGTCCGGGTGAATATATCTAACATGGTCTCTCATGTTCGAAAACTCTAGCAATGCTTTCTTTTGGGATAGTTTGTCTAATCGAATGAATTGATATATCTCAATGTACTGCAGATAACTCAAATAGTTACTGGTTATTTTGTTTTGAAAAGTCTGTCATATCCAGTTTGCTCCAGCCAAAGTTGATCAATGGGAAACGGGGATGAACCGATAGTTGCCAAATATCACCGGTCACTGGACAAAGCAATCATTGAGCTCTGTCACCACCATAAAAGTCTTGGAGAACAGAACGAGGCTCTTGCGAAGGAAAATGTCGATCTTAAAGCACGTCTCGAAACTCATAATATTCCCTGACCTATGAAGCACGGTTCGAAACGATTATAATAATTGTACCTTCAGCTGCGGGATTAAATGCTGACTTGACACACATCACGGTTTCTTATACACGAGCTTTCTAAGCAACTAGAATATCCGATACTTGATTCCGTTTTCGAGATCTTGAAGACTAACGTCACTAAGTAAGAGTATGCGGAACAGCAACAGTGTCCTGTCTAACTGCTGCGAATATCGAAACTCTTCAAAAACGAAGGAGTGAAACTTCTATTCCGCAAAAACGAATTCATCATTTACTCAATTCTCCTCTTCAATGTAGTCAGTGGTCTGAACCAGGCGGAAAACTGGCGGTTGACATTTAACAAACTGAACTGCCAGTTTAAATAGTTCACTATCTCAACTGATTAAACTATTGACTACATTAACTGCTCCTCTGTGAAGTGACCGGTGAAAATACACCCAGAAATCTGTGCGAAGCTCAAGGATTTGGAGTTACGTGTCCTCGGTAAGTACTACGACGACGGAGCTAACAAAAACTATCTACCTGTTTATGATAACTCAGGGTACCGGTTCAAGATGAATATCATAAAGCGTGGTCCAAGTATAATCTCCGTAGGACAGATCTCCAAAGGTACTGCTGGCGTCACATTTACGACTTCCTCGAAGCGCTTAATTCCCCGGAAATTCTAGGGAGTAGTCTAGGGTTAGGGAGCAGAAGGTGACCTTCAAAAATCTACAGTTCATGATGATTGACCTTCAATTTCACGGACGAGCTTCCTGGTCCCAACATCAAGCTGCGCGAGTTGGTAAAAGTGATTTAAGGTCCAACCCTTCACCAAATATGAATTCAGGGTGTGCCTTCAAAAGTCAACAGTCACTTGGCTGCGCAAATTTCGGGTAATCTTGTGAAAGAGAATGGATTAAAGGGTCGCCGCGACACGCCAAACTCCACATACACCTACGGAGGTGAATTATTGGAAGCTAGAAGTGCCAGAAGTCGGTCAGAGCCTATGAGACCTCATTAATGTTTCCTCAAATTGCCGTTAGGATAGGATCAGAGTCTACAGCAGGGAGGAAGAAAACAAAACATGCCTGGAAAGGACTCTCAAAAACAGTCGGTGAATGCGAGAGGGGTAAAGTGCGATTTATTATTATGACGGGAGCCCCTGTTGCCGTTGGTGGGAAGTCCAAAGAGTCATGATTGCTGGAAATACAGAAGAGTGACTGGATATCTACGAGGCCGAATAAACCGATGACTTCGGGAAAATTATTATGGTCTGAACCTGGAAGATGGTGATTTGGGGACCGGGTCACGACAACGACGGTGGAAGTGACCTTGATGAAGCTTGGGATATTGATGAGGGCGGTCCTGATGCTCGGATCTGCGGTGACTGTTGAGATATATACGGTTATCTCGGCAAAAATATCGCTCACTTGGACGAGATGGTGAATATGGAACTGAAAATGGATATATCCGGGAGAGAGAGAGAGAGAGAAAGACATTAACTATGTGTTTCCAAAGAGAAATTGAGGCTATCAAGAGTAAACAATGATCTGCAAGGGATTTAAGTGCTATATGAAGCTACTACCGGTGGTAAACTCATACTCAGCATATCTCCGGGGTTTTTCTATGCAGAGTTTTAAAAGTCACTAGTTCTTAACGACTACAGTTGAATGAATCAAAGCCAATCATTCAACTGTAAGCTCTTACATACGTGTTCGTGTCCACCTATTATCGTGACGAAGGATTTTGTATGTATCGATGATGGTATAGTATGATTAGCGGTTATTACTTACTCCATACTCGTATTTCCAATCATATCGTGAAACAAATAAAATTTAGTTGGGAATTGTCACTTGTGAAAACTTGGGATCTAGAATGTCTACTGTCCTGTGACATTCAAGGTATCTGCAACTTAGAAGGCATATATTTGTACTCGAGAATAACAAAACAGCCTAGCCAGGTTGGCTAATTGAAAATATCGGCTAATGGTAAATACGTACGAGTAAAGTAATGTGGATGGGAAGACTCCAGGCGAAGGAGATAGAATGCTTACCATATCCTAATAGGTTTTCTTCTGGTGAGGTTATATGAATATCAACAACATCACATTCAATTGGGACCCACATACTGTAACAGAGTGAATGGATGATTTTTACATATCTACCCTCGTACCCCTCGTTTATACAACGGTAGATGAGTAGCCACGCCTATGATTATGGAGTTACAAGTACAGCAGTACCAAGTACTGTATTAATATTGCATTAATTGGTTGAAATGTGGTTTATCGATAAGAATTTCATCCACTTATTAATACGGTTGCGGCCGCACTAAACTAGTCACTGTGACGAAATTATTTTAGCATTTATCCACAAACCACAAAACCTCATTCTTTCCAAATTCCCAATTAACAAAAAATCACATCACAAATTCGAGAAGATGTCTTCTAGGATGTGGAAGTTCATTTCAAATACAATTGGGAAATTACAAAGTCCTAGACCTTCACAGCAAGATGAGAATGTAGCAGATTCTTCATCCCTGCACCAGACCGACTACCCTGCCGATACCCCGACACGTCACGGCAACAGCAACAGCAACAAAGTAGGAGAACAACTTGTGGACAACATATCGCATTCAGAGCAGGATGATTCTATTCTGAATACACTCCTGAACAAGAAGGGCAGCAACGTCAGAGAGCAACTGGAGGAAGCGAGCAAGGAGACCAAGAAAAATGAACCACAGGAGGATGTACAGGAAGATGTCACGGCAAGCAATACAAGTGATTATGACTCAGGAAAGGCCCCAAAGTCGACAAAGAAGTCCCCAAGCGATGGATCATTCGCGATTCCACCTCCAAGATACGGTCGTAATAAAGAAAATGGGCTTGCAGAGACAGCAGAGCCATTGGCGCATACCGAGCTTCCTGTCGACAACACTTTGAATACCCGCAAAACAAGGGGACGAGACCGACCTGCAAAGACTGTCCAAACAGTGGTGTATGATGAAGCTCCTTCTTCCATTTCAGACGGAATAAATAGTGGCTTGGAAGAAAAGGACATCGCAGAAGTGGTAGAGCCATTGGCGCATATTGAACCTACGGTCGACAACTCTTTGAACACTCGCAAAACAAGAACACGAAGCAGACCTGCAAAGAAAGCGGAAACAGTGGTACATGATGAAGCTCCCTCTTACACTACAAATGGAACAAGTGATAGCTTGCAAGGAGAGAACAGTCCAGTAGCAGAGCCATTGGAAATTACTGAGCCTCCGGTCGACAATTCTTTGAACACTCGCACAACGAGGGGACGAGGCAGACCTGCAAAGGTAGTAGTACACGATGCAACCACTTCTCATATTTCACATGAAGAGATTAGCATCTTAGAAGAGGAGAACATTACGGAAGTGAAAGAGTCATCGGTTCGAGATGAGAACCTAATTGATATACCCGAGACCAACCACAAAACAATGGCACGAGGCAGACCTGCAAAGACGGTAGTATATGATGAAACTCTTTCTCATATTCCGCATGGGGAAAATAGCAGCTTAACAGAAGAGAAAATTTCGGAAGTGGCAGTGTCTTCGGTTCACGATGAGAATCCAATCGCTATTCCCGAGAGCAATCACAACAACAACACGACAAGAAGAATATTTCCAAAAGTTGAAGATCCAATAAATACACCCGAACCTTTCGTTGATACGCCTGCAACTGACAACAAACGCCGACGCGATGTCTTAGAATCATCTACTGGAATTGAAGGGCTCGAGATCAATTCTCCTGCTAGCGCCTCTAACAAACGAAGAAAACTTGCTCCAAAACCTGTAAGTTGCCTGTTGTGCATCCTCTTTTCTTGATTTTGAATAAATTGCATATACTAATACAATATAGGACGGAATGGATACCCCACCTGTAGGAAATACCCAGCAGGCAAGAGATGAACGTAGAAAATACATGGACCGAGAAAGACAACGAAGATGCAGACAACGAAAGAAGGAGAGACAACAAGGGGAGCAAGCAGCCGAAAGAGAGGTTGTGGCCCAGGCCAAAGATGAAAGAAAGAAAGCTATGGCTAGAGAACGAGTTCGACGACATAGAGAGAATCAAAGATCGAAGCGAGATTCCAATATGGAGCCAAACATGGGAGACAGACAACAATTAAAGGAAGATGCTAGACAGCGGGATAGGGACTTGATTGCATCGGGTGCTCGAAATGTTGTTGAAAAAGAGACCTTCAACACCGAATGAAAGCACCAGGAAAGTGATGATAGACTGCTGGATTTTCGAGTCATAAGTCATGGTTGATGATCCTTTGTCCCAACATTTCGCCCACTACTTTCGACACTCACGACACTTATGACAACACAACATACAATATGCAATATGCATCACCCAAATTGTACCATTCAGCTTTCAAGAACTTCAAGGCTGTTTCATCCCTTTTTTACAACAGTATTCCTCTCAGCTTAGGTACATACGAGTACACGAGACCTCGCCTCATCTCAACAAGCATTCTCAAAATACCTCTCCGCACATTCTACCATGACATTGTCATGTGCCCTCTATCTCCTCCTCTCCTTTCCTCTCCTATTATATCAGAAAAGAGACTACAGTCAATTTACAACCACATTACATTACCTAAAAGTCACCAATAAAGACTCTTCAGCCATTCCGATACAAGATATTTTACACTACGAGTAATCCCCAACAACCACGCACCTAGCATTTCACTCGGTACTGTACTAACCAGCACTACATCGCACCACACCGCACACTACCGCGCATTATATCACACACCACACAACGGAACCTCCTAACGACTATTTACCATTTACAATTTTCTATTTTGGCTACAACTCGGAACTCAAATTGGATACAGTTTTTGTGGTCGGGGATTGGATGGTTTGGATGGTTTGGAGGATTTGGATACAAAGGGGGGGGGACCAAATAGGATATTGTGATGTGTTGTGATGTTATGTGATTTGATGAGGCGAGAATGTATGTAAATACAGTAGCTATTAGTGGTTAGTGGAGGGTATATGAAGGAAGAATTGAGGATTGGGGATTTGGGATTTGGGATTGGGGATTGGTTGGTTTTGGGTTGGTTGGTTGGTTATATATTATATACATCTTTAAAATATTTTTTAAATGAGTGAATGGTTGGATGATTGGATGTGATGGTTGGATGTGATGGATGGGGGATGGATGGGGGATAGATTGTGTATGTATATATGAGATATCGTGATATCATACTTATATTGTAATATCGTACTGTAATATATATAAAAAAGGATAATCTGAGTGAGTATCGAGGGCTTCCTTTTATATAGTATAAAATAATACTCGAGTAGAATACAAAAGTAGAATACAAAATCAAATATTCAGAATCATTTTTTAGAGGTGTACGGGGGTGGGAATGGGAATGGGAATGGGAGTTGGAGTTGGAGTTGGAGTTGTGGGTTTGAGGGTTTGAGGGTGATGATGGGGATGGGTTAGGTGGATGGGTGGATCAGTAAATAAGGGGCAGGTGGAGGGAGGGGTGAAGGGAGGGGAGAAGGGGAGAGAGGGGATGATGGGGGAGGGGTGGAAGGGGTGATATTATGAGATTATGTGAATTTGTGAATTTGGGGGGTAAGGGTAGGTGTAGGGATAGATATATAGATAAATAGGTAGGAGGGGAAGATGTATAGGATGAAGGAGGTAAGAGGTAGAAGATAGAAAAAAGAAAATATATAGAAAATAGATATCTGATAATATTGAAACTTAATAGTTAGTTAGTTAGTTAGTTAGTTAGTTAGTACTCGAGTATAAGATTATTCTATTCTATTCATTATTTATACATTCTTCATTCTTGCATCATATCATTTTGTCTGAAATTTTCTGAGGGAGAGAGAGATCTTCTATTTTCTATTGATCTTCTACTCTTCTACTCTTCTACTCGAGTACTGAGTTATTGTAAAGTATATATATATAAAAATATTTTACTCGTACTCGAGTGGAAAGTAAGTTAGATTTATTTCATAATCAATAGCGGTATTAGTATTAGTATTAGTAGGAAAATGTATAATTGTACTCGAGTATTATATTATATTATCGATAAAAATAAAATTAACTTTGGACCTGACCTAACCTGACCTGAACCTGGCGAATTGGTAAATTGTAATTGTAATTGTGAATTGTAAAGGAGATATTTACGAGTAGATCTTTGCTTTATGGACTATGGACTATGTATGTTTTGCCGGGAAAATAAATGTATGGGATGACTTTGGAGAGTTTTGGAGAGTTTTGGAGAGTAGATAATATAATATAAATTATAAATAGAAATTTGTAGTTAGGTTAGTTGTGAGATGGAAATAGGTATATTACGTAATCTTTATGGCCGATCACTCGAGTGCTAGTAATTAGAGCATTGGAATTTTTCCATACTGTATCGAAAAGTGCATCCATCACCTTGTTGCATCGTCATTCATGATAAAGCTCTCGAAATATCGCGGCAAGAGATAACCTTACTCGAGTAGAAAGGAATTGTTACTTGATGGAAGTTTAAAGTCCTATACGATAGTAAGAGTTTGTCTCTCCTGGATGGATGGTAGAGTGAGTCTTTTTTTCCCCCAAAATCATAAGACATTCCTCATGTTAAAGTTTCGGAAAGGTGGAAAATAAGATTCGTTTTATGTTTGTTTGTCAATCATTGCACTGACAATGATTGTTTGGATGTGAAAGCGGCCTAGGCTGATGGATCCTTCATTGCACTTACACAAGCGCCTTATTGTAACGATTACTTAGATGTTTGTTCAAGGAAACGAAACTTGAGTTTGTGCTTGCAGATAGACGATATTGATTGATGTTTGGGATCGACAACCATTACTACTAGTACCCATGCATCACATCTATTCATCTATTCCCACAAGCCCTTGTCGCATGGGCTTCTACATTTTTAATGTTACCCCGCCAAAATTACCTTCAGGGTAGCCTTCATGCCAAAGTTTCAAACGTTCAATGTATCAAGATGGTGACAGATTTGGGTGTGGATGTTATATTATTCACCTCACTGTCATGTCATCGAAAAGCTTACTTCTCTTTTCTTACTTTTCATAATTGTTCTTTCTTTTGGGTTTGCGGTGATTGCGTACAGGAAACTTTAAGTTGATTCTTTCAAGGTGCTGGAAACCATTGGAAGATATAAGTTTATCACATCACAAACAGCTTGATGCTATGACGATTAATGAATAATGCCATATGATAATCTCACGATAAAAACAGATGAGTAAGTTTACTGGATGTTTGGAGGTGACCGCAAAGAAATCTAATAGTTTATTTAATAGGTGAAGCAGAAACATTTTGATACAGTAACGACACCGATAACATCATGTCAACTTGGGGATCATACTTCTCCGGCTATGTCAAAAAGAATCCTGGTGGCACTCCCGCAGATAAAGAGAATGATCCGACAATTACACCTATCGCACCACTAAACATTAATACTAATGTCAAAACCATTCAGCCCTTGGTCCTCGATGAAGATGGCCTCACACCCAACTCGAGCGAAGATGTAAAGAAACGTTTCGATGAGAAGCTGGGGAGTGTAGGGAATTTAGGAATGGGTACAGCATCAGTGAAGAGAATGCCGACATTGAAATCGAATGGTAGGGGTGCAAGGATGGCAAAAATGTTTGGATATGGAACGGCGGCGAAGGAAGAGAAGGTCGATGAGAAAGTTGTGGAAGATAAGGGCGAGGTGGAAACTCCTTTGGTAGAAGTAAAGGAAATACAGATTCAACTACCAGCTGAAATGAGCAAGATCGAGAAATTATTGGCGGAGAGGAAAGCTGTTGCAATTGAGTCGAGGAGTTCTTCGCCGGTCAATATTCAACCACCTCAACCATCTCAACCTGTACAGTCTAATCAGCAAGAGGATCAACTACAAGCTACTTCGGCAGCTCAATCTTTACAGTCCATTCAACCTCTGGAGGAACTGCAAGTTACCCCGCCAGCTCAATATTTTCAACCTGAGAAGGAACTGCAGGTTACCCCACCCGTTCAACCAGCTCAAACTTTACAGTCTAATCTACCTGAGGAGAAACTGCAGACTACCCCACCAGCTCAACTACCTCAACGCGTGCAGTCTAGTCAACCCGAGAAGGAAATGCAGGTTACCTCACCCGTTCAACCACCTCAATCTGTACAATCCAATCTACCTGAGGAGAAACTGCAGGTTACCTCGCCAGCTCAACCACCTCAACGCGTACAGTCTATTCAGCCCGATGAAGAACTTCAGCTTATCCCACCCGTTCAACCACCTCAACCTGTACAATCCAATCAGCCCGATGAGGAACTTCAGGTTATCCCACCGACGCAACCACCCCAGTCAATAGAATCTGTGCAGCCTGTACGATCAGTAGAGCCACCAGAGCCCTCAAAACCTATCCCATCAAACAGCACAGATTATATTCAGCAACCATTACAGGAGAAACCTAAGCCGACCAGCTCTGACACAACAACTTCAACGCGCCTATCATTCAATGGGGTAAAATCATCGATAAAACGAGCTTCTACTCGCAGTAAAAACAAAGCATCTATCTCTGCATTGGATGATCTTTTGGCTTGTTTCGGCGAAGAGTTTGCTTCCGTTGCAGTCACTTCAAAACCACTCGAGAACGAGAAGGCGATAGAGAAGCCGGCGTCTGAAAAACCAAGAAGACAACGGAAACCAAAAGCTTCAATCTCAGCGCTAGATGATATCATGGCTGGCTTATATTCTATGGAACCTGCGACCGAAACTGTACGAAGATCAGCAGAGGTCCGGAAAGGTGATGTTAGAAATTCTAGGATGCCGACAACAACTAAAGTAATTGAGGTGACTCCAAAAGTTATTCCTCCCATTCCTGAAGTTTCAAAACCAGTCACCGAAAATTTGAAGGTGTCATCACAGACTCCGGATCCATTGAAGAGAAAGTCAAGAGCAGTATCAAGGTTTCCAATTGTAATATCTAATGTTTCCAAAGAAACTCTGAATGTTCCGGCACCAAAAGCAACCACAAAATTGATTCCTCTTATCCTGAAAGACCGGCTTAGTCCGCTTCCTCCAAACAACCAGCCGATTACAACAATTCCCCGTTCACCAACAATAAATGGCCAACTGAGTCCCATTCCACCACAATTTCGCCTTCGCCCTAAACGTTCCTTTCAAGACATGGTAAAACTTGCCACATCACCTCGCTTTGCACAAGTTGCCGAACAAGCGGTTGAAGCTGAAGCCGAACGAAAGTTACTAATATATGAAAGGCAAGCTGAACAAATACTACTCGAGAAAGAAGAGATGGAAGAGAAAAGAATGAGTATGGAGGAGAGTTTCAGGAAGGTGCTAGAAGAGGACGAGAGGATTGCTAGAGAGGCGGAAGAAATGAAAGCTTTTTTCGAAGAACAAGAGAGGATACGGATGGAAACAGAGGCTGAGGAGGAGAGATTGAAGAAGGAGAGAGATGAAATCGAGAGACAAGCAAGAATCAAGAGGGAAAAAAGAAAGGCAGAAGAGCGGGAGGCACAAGAAGAGGCTGAGAGATTGACCGCACAAATCAAAGCATTCGAGAGAGAACAGGAGAAGGCGGCTCAAGAGGCAGCTAGGAAATTGAAAGAGGAGGAAAGACTTGCGAAAATCGAAAAACAGGCGGCAGCTAGGAGGTACGAAGAAGAAGAGAAAATTGCAGCGATTGAGAGGCAGGCCGAAAGGGAAAGGATGGAGAAAGAGGAGCGCTTAGCTGCCGAGGAGGCAACGAGAAGATATGAAGAAGACGAAAGATTGGCAGAAATTGAAAGGATAGCAGAAGAGGAGAGGCTCGAAGAAGAAGAAATGTTAGCATATGAAGAACAACTGCGTGAGGACGAATTGGAAGAGGAACAACGAAAAGAAGAGGAGAGAATCTACGCCGAAGAAGCTAGACAACGAGACGAAAGAAGAGACAGAGAAGCGAGGGAAAGGACCGAAAGGATGGAAGCCGAAATGCGCGAAGAAGAAAGGTCAAGGGCAGAAAGAGATGAACAAGAACTTTTACAAATGGATGAAGAAGAAGAGGAAAGAAGAGCCTACGAAGAACGTATTGAAAGACAACGTCAAAGAGATGAGAGAGAAATGGAAATGATAAGAAGGCGAGAAGCACAGGAGCAAACTATCGAGCAACAAAGATTTGATGCTCAGCAAGAGATGGAAAGGATGGATATGATAGAGCGCGAAGAACGCGAAGCTATGAGAATGCAACAAGAGCGTCAAGAGGCCGAAATGGACAGAGAAAGAGAAGAAGATATCAGATTACAGCGCCAACAACAGGCGGAGGAATTTTTGGAAGAATCAGACGATGATGATGATGATGAAAGGCCCCTGACGAAAGAAGAAGAGATGGCTAAAGCGGAAGAAAAGATTCGAATGGCATTTGCGGGAATGGCAGCGGAGAAATCAGGAATACCCGCTCCGATAAATCCCAGACCAATGTCACCCAAAGCGCAATCTATTCAGAATCAGAATCAACCGGTTAGACAATTGGGGCCAAGACCTTCGATTAAGGGTGGTTTGCCGGGAGGACCAAGAGGTGGTGGATTACCTGGTGGTCCGAGGACTGGGATGGGTTTACCGGGTGGTCCGAGAGGTGGTGGTGGGTTGCCTGCTGGTCCGAGAATTAGGAGGGTTTAGGGTGTAGGGGAGTGCTTTTGAGTACTGGTTTGTTTTTGTGGTGAGGATCCTTTAATTATTGGTGTTTTTGTTTGTGTGTGAGTTGTGCGTGTGCGTGTGCATATATACCATTAGCGTAGCAGTGTTTATGTTGAAAATATATTTCTATATTCCTAAAGTAGTCTTTATTATAGGGTTGAACTTATGAGTAATTGTCTACTGGTACTTATTTATGAAGGTTGTTAAATAAGAGAACTATCTATTGCCGAGGACAGATATATATAAACTTAGTGTCCGTATACTTGAGTATATGAAGAACTCTCTGACTACACATGACTTATACTCGAGTATAAATTCCTGATATATCTTCCTCGATTATATATAAATCTCACTTCCCTCAGGCTCTTCCTCTTCTTCCATTCTCCTTTTTTTTTCAATATTCGATTTTTTTAATATTCGATTTTTTTGATATTCAATACTAAGGTTCCGAGTAATACAAAATTCATATATATCCTATTATCTCATCTCATTGTAACATCATCTATTCTCTAGATAGATACATCTATAGTAAGTAGTATGTATATTAACTACTTACTATGAGTACCAATAGATAAGATACTACGAGTAGAGTTGGGTAAGAATTGAGTAGAAACTGGATGGGAACTGGATAGGAACTGCCAGGATGAGTAATGGTAGTAGTGAAAGTAAAAATAATGTATATAGATAGATAGATAGATATGATTTTATATAATGGTTAATTAGGTAAGTGAAGTAAATGAAGTAAGTGTATTCGATCGAGTATGAAGTGAAGTGGTGTTTGGAATGAAATGAAGTGAAGTAAGTGAAGTGAAATGAATAAAAGCCAGTCAGTTCTGAAAATCAAACGCAGGGTTCGAACCTATATTTGCAATCCTCACTCAGATATGCAACAGAAAGTATTGTGTCATGTGGTTAGTACGTGTGCTGCTGTGGACAAATATCGGAGAAGCTTTGATATGATTACATAAAAAAGACATGTGATCTCATCTGATATGTTGCATATCTGGACAATTCTGGAGCGTCACTGTGTACAGACAGGGCCTGGGCTCATCAGTTAATTTTTAGTGAGATCATTTTAGCATACATAACCCTGAAAAGCCTCACGCACTACCAATTCTGCTTCGTTTCAGTACACAACCACTACAACAATTACAGCAACAATTACAGCAACAAACACAACAACAAACACAGCAACAAACACCCAACCTCCTCTCACAATGGCAAACTCCCAAGTCCCCAATCTTAATTTCGGTGGTCCAATAATCTTCTTCGATTCCAACCCCGAAATGCAAGAATCCTTCCTCGGATCCTACTGGACCACGCTCAAAGAAACACTCAAGACCTCCTGGACAGGCGAGGTACGCAAATTCCACAACCCGGGAACGCTACGCATCCTCTTCTGGACGGACGAAGGCAAAGAATGCATCAAAGACTACGAGCTTCACGAATACCAACTGGTGCGACAAGCGTGGGAATCCCTATTTCATCTGCCGGATGTGCGGCGCGCGATTGTTATGGGGTATAGTGGGCAGAATCCCTATGTGCAGGAATTTGGGGAGAGGAATCCTTGGGGGGAGAAAATTGATCGTGAGAAGAGGAGGCAGGTGGTGGGGAAGCAGAGACAGGGGGAGAGTAAGGAGGGGAGGTCCGGTAGGGAGATTGATATTGGGGAGGTGATTGATAGGACGGAGGAGGCGGAGGTGAAGAAGTTGGCGGAGGCTAGTGGGAAGGTGAAGATGAAGTTTGAGGAGGTGTAGAGTAGAGTAGAGTAGAGTAGAGTAGTGGAGGTGGAGGTTGAGGTTGGGGTTGGGGTTGGGGTTGTGTATGGTATGATATGGATATATGAGATGGGATGAGTGTTAATATTGATTGGGAATGAGTTATAATAGATAGAGATTAAGAATGGAGTTTTTTCGGAAGGCGCGGAGATATTGGATATTAGATACTAGTATGGATGGAGCATTCAAAGATGGCGCATCAGGACAGATATAAGATAATCAAGAAAACATATCATTCATTACTCGAGTATACATTCAACATCTGCGACTTCATGAAAACAAGGGATATACTTATACTTACAAGTCGACATTTGAGAAGCTCACCGTTCTGTATGGTTAAATACTCGAGTACAATACCGGTACATATATACATAACCCATAACCTTATGTTTTTTGTCTTTTTTTTCAAAAAACAGCAACCAAACAATACAATATCTGAAAGGGGTATTCGGCGTATTCGGCGTATTCGGCGTATCCGGTGATAGATAGTAATTAGCCAAGCCAATAAAACGAGTTCTTGTGTTCTTGTTTACTTACCTATCTATGTATGTATGTATGTATAGTATAGACCCAAGTATCCAGTATCCAGATATATAAACATAAAATTCAAGCTACTCGTCGGCATAACACTAGCTTAGCTTAACCTTACGTGTGGAAAACGTCAAAGTATTATAATATGCATTAATTAAGGTTATATATCTCTGTATCTATTCTATAGCTACTAGTAGCACCTTTGGTTTATTAGGTTGGTAGGTAGGTAGGTGGGTGGGTGTCTTGGACTATTGACTATTTATATAGACGAGTATATAGATGATTGATTGATGTTATTCGGTTTCTTCGCTTCGCATGGTACGACGTCTGTGGATGGTGATGGTGATGGTTATGATGTTGATGGTTATGGGGTTGTGTGTTGGTTGTGATATATTGTGATTTATATGGTTGTCTGAGTATAGTACTGGTATGCTGTTTTTGTTTTTGTTTTTGATTAATGAATTACTGGGGTGGGGTGGAGATAGATGCGATGGATCTCCTCGAGTAGGATTTTTTTGTTTGTTGTATTATGGTATGGTATGAGGATGAGGGATGGTATGTATGATGGTTTGATGGTTTGATGCTATGCTCTGGATGTGGATATGGGATGGATATGGAATGGATATGGGATGGAAATGGATGTGGATATGGAAAGATAATATTCGTACTGAGTAAACCGAATCGAGAGTTTCCGTGAGGTGCCTGGACTAGAGGCTGGAATGGAAATTGAAATTGAAATTGAAATTGAAATTTTTGAATGATGTGTTGGGGAGAGATATGGGAGCGGAACGGAGTGTGGAAGAGGGGGATGTAGTTGAGGCGAGGGAGGGGTGATGGGTAGAGGGGTGAAGGTACGTGTGAAATCATAGGAAAGCCTTTGGCATAACCACATATTATACAACAATCATCTAATCGTAGTATCATTTAAAGATAATCATAATCAAAGGGGGATAAAGTAACTCTTTGTCTAAATACTAAAGATAAATATAACTTTGAAAAAGTAAAACATAACGGTTGATCTAAACTACTGAAAAAGAGAATATAAATATCCTCTCTAAGCTATCATATGATTCTAATACTATTGATTGGTTTCCTCATAGTAGAAGAGGGGGATGTAGTTGGTGTCGTTGAAGCAAGGGAGGGGTGGGTGGTGTGTTTGGTAAAGGGATTTCCAGATGCAATGGTAAGATTAAGAAAGCTGGAAGCTGGGGAGGAGGATTGATAGCAAGTAAGTTGAGGGAGAAGCTTGAGGGGATGGGATTTGGGGAGTTTGTTATAAGATCTTATATACCGGTAATTGATTATTGATTTGATATGATGATATCCGGGGAAAGGAAATATATAATGGTTTTGATAATGAACGAATGAGTAGTGGAATCGAAGCACAGTACTTGTAGTAAAATTGTGAATCTTGTGGCTTATATTTTGATATAATTAATATTTGATATACTCGAGTAATTAATAGATACTATAATCCTTTTACTTATATAGGAATAGGAGTTTATATTCGAGTAGATGATTTTTAGTTCTAGAATAAATGAGTAGAGATTATATATTAACTAAAGATTAACTTACTAGATATATCTAACTAAAAAACTAATCCATCTCCTATATATCAACTTAGCTATATCTATCTAAGTAATTCAAAGCTATAAATACTAATTCTATATAATTCTTTAGATTTGCAATAAGCTCTCTTCTTTCTCGCTTTAAGAAATTGATTAATTAAAGATTCGAATATAATAGATATATAGATAGATAGATAGATTAGTAGATAGATAAGATTATACTTCTCGAATCAAATATAATAAAGTTATTTATAAGGAAATCGGAAATTCTATAGAAAAGATGAATAAGATTTATCGATAGAAGATTTAGAGATAGTTATACTGACTAGTATATAATTGAATAATGAGAATATTAGTTCTAGAGTTTATATAGATTAATCAAGTTATTTCCTATTCAATTTCAGATAGATAATTTATATAGTATCTAGAAATAGATTTCAACGATGAGATATATAGTATAAAAATTCAATCTTATTCGACTTTCAATATTGCTTACTGGAAAATTAAAATTTGTTATTTTCCAGATATATAACAAATATATAGAATATATTTGATATATTATATATTATATATTATATAAAAGAGTAGTTATTGATTGCGATGTTTGAAGTTTAGAGTACGAAATTCGGATATCTAGATATCTATATAGCTAATAGGAAAGAAAAATATAGCTATCCGTTACTAGATATAAGAATATAATTGATTATTAGTAGATATATTCAGTATAGATAAAGATATTGTATTACTCGGGTTAAAGATACTAGTAGTTATATAATTAACTCGTATAATATATTCCTGTTCTTAATCCAAAGTATAAGATAATCAATTATTGATTTATATTTACGAGCGTACTCATTTAATAAAATAAGGAGAATGAGAAGGAAAATTAATAGATAGATGAATAAATGACGAAAAAATAAAATATGATATTGCATTCGTAGTAATCTATAATCTATAATATATAATCTTATATTCATTTACAAACCTCTCCTATTCTCTTCCCTTCTCACCCCTTCTCACCCCCTCTCTTCCCCTAGAATTTCCCTCCCCTCCCCTCTCCCAAACCCCAAAAACAAAATGTTGCAAATCTCAAAAAAAAAAATGAGGGTGTAGAGCCATGTAGCCGTGTGTAGCCGTGTGTAGCCATGTGTAGCGGTGTATAATATTGGCGCCTATTTAAAATTAAAAAGACTCTAGATACCTAGATACTTGTTTTCAGAAAACAATAATGGCGGATGGCTGCCTGGATTGTGGGGTTATATATATATATACATATGTGGCAGTGGCGGTTTGTTGAGGCTTGGTGTGCTTATTTTTGATATATGGTGTACGTATTTCTTATTTTTGGTATAAAGTAGATGAATCGTTTTTGAAGGTTCCGCTATTGAGTATAGCTGTTTGTGTAACATTACTTTCTTCATCAATATATTTTGAATATTTTGTTTCACAACAAACAGAAGATATTCAGTGCTAAATCACGAGGGATGATGTTGACTACTCGGATATATCGGTATATGAAGAGGACACGACTACATCAAGTCACTAAAATCTATACTAAATTCGCCCGACAATAGAAATCCGAGTCTACCAACCTAGCGAGCAAGCAAGATGAGAATATTTGTCTTCCCAAGATTTTGAAAAAGACACTGATGAGTGATCCGTATATCTTCAACAAGTACATAATATTTTGTAGTCTTCAAAGCACCTCTTCTTTCTTCAACTTCAAACTATCAAAGTGATTACTATACGAGGAAAAGCCTCACAGCACAAGGTCTCGACTCTTTCTACTCAAGTAAATATCAGCAATCATGATGAATCATGAACCAATCCCGTGACATGTAGAGGCTCGGTGAAAAATACGATCTGCAACAAAATGGAAGAAGTACGGAGGAATATCGGATAAGATGATGCCAAAATCATAGGGCCGAGTTTCGAGTATTGACTTTGGATTGATTGTTGGGTGTTGATTATTTGTAATTTGCATGAAGTGTTTTGATATGAAAGGCTTGACTTGAATGAGAGAAATAAAAAAGAACTCCCCCGAAATTCCTCGGGAGAGTGAGAGTGAGTATCTTGTAAGACCTGGTAAGTTTTCCATTTAAATGGAGACCAACGGAAAATACTTTAAACAATCGGTATGTACTCAGCATCCAAAATGCAAACTACCAACTTGGTATTTGGTATTGCCTTTGTATGATTCATCTACCTAACAGCCTAGGTAATCTATCTAATAACTATATCCCCAAATCTCGAAACGAACAAACCCCTCCCACCCAAAAATATTGTCAGATTAGATCAAGTTATTTCCATCATACAACCACGACTACCCCAAGTTAAAACCACAAAATTAAATGAATAATCGGGTTATGAACTCGGTGTAGTAGCATAGATAGATAAATATGCTTTGTGTGATCTCCGGTAAGCTCTTTGTTATCATCATTCAATTTTTTTTGAGGTGGGAGAAGTCTGAGAAGTCTGAGAAGGGAGGACTGTGGTTGGGAGATTATGTATAATGTGGGTGAGTGGAAAAAAATAAAGAAAGGTATGTACTCGAGTACTGCTGTGGATGAGGGAGGGGTTGGTAAGTAATGAGTGGCTTGCTTGAGAGATTTGGGTTGGGAGAGGGAGAGAGAGGGAGGGAGGGAGAGAGAGAGAGAGAGAGAGAGAGAGAGAGAGAGAGAGAGAGAGAAGCTTTGAAATGATAAAAACATCTCTCATGCAGTGCAGAGACTTTGGGAGAGGCATGATGACTTCCCTGACGGGTGATTGATACCGTGATGACTGGTATTGAATGAAGTGCTAACGGCTGTTGAAGCAATAGTTCAATCTCCAAGTAAGCAGAATACTATCTATGGATGCGCCACAGTATTCGACGCGTCTTGTGTAGCTTGATCCAGAAGTTACCAAGATTTGAATGATTGCTGTGTAAGTGGAATTATTGAATGATAACCTTACCAAGTTCGTCGGGAACAACGAGAAGAGATGTGTCTCTTGAGAGCAAGAGCAACCAGAGCAACCCATTAAAACCGGAAGAGTGATCTTTTAAAGGTTGTGCCAGATGTTTTTGTTTTTGAAGTCGAGATCACAGAAAATAAATTAAACGCGTTTCCCGCATAACTTTCTTTTTGTCTACCTATTCAGACACTACTGACTCAGATAGTTACCTAGCTAGCCTCATTCATGATTAGTCATTTAAATACGCCTCGGTTCTTGTTCTCCCAAAACCCTTTTTGTGCATATAAATGGAGCTTTACCCAACCCCGAAAACCCATTTATCTAACTAATTTTAATCCTTTCATAAAGTCTTTTTTTTTCGAGCTACTGAGTATAGTGTTAACGAATACTCCACCAACCAACTACTCTCCTATCTTCACCGCCTTATCATAATCGAAGCTTATCGCATTTATCGCAACTTGATGAAGGAACTTCGAACCGAATAGGAAAGAGAACAAAGGAAAGAAAGAGTGATTATCGTTCTAGTCATCTCATCTTGACTGGAAAGAAAAGAAAAGATATCATATCCAAAAGGCTAACAAGTACATATCGATTTGACAAAGAACTTCGAAATACTAGGCAGAATTGTCTACTGCTGTACAACGAGATTTTATATATATCAAAACCTATCTAGGTAATGGTATCATTAAACCGGCAGAATCTTAAGTTATAATTCGTCAAATCTTTATTATCAAACTTTGTTAGCCTTGCATAAATCGCATAATCTAATTCTCAAAATTATTAACGTCAAAGTTATTCAAAAATTCATTAAAAAGGGAAAGAACGAAAAGGAAATGGATTCAACTTATGCTCCTCAATCCCCCGATTTATCAAGTTTCTTATTAGCACCTGATATAAATAAAAAACAACAGCAACAACAATCAACAACAACATCATATGCACCTAGATCACCAATAATTCCTAACTTTGGTGGCACTACTACTACTTCAACAGCAGCCTCACCACTTCAACCACAAAATCAATATTTGAATAATCAATACAATCAACAAATATACACTCAAAGAGGAGATTTGAACCAATTTGAAGGATACGGTGGAAATCAATATATGCCACCCATTCCCACTTTACCTCCTACACATACCTTTGGCTTCGGAACTCTAGGAATTTCTTCATCTACAGCGGCCCCACAATTCTATTACCCCTCTCAGACGATCAAATCAGAATCTGACTATCAAAACAATTCACCTTCACCCATCACATCTTCTCTATCGAAAGCTCCCACAATCAGTTTCAACCGTATCCCATCACCTTTTAAACTTGACTCTACCAATTCCATATACCCATATAACCACCAGCACTCCCCTTCCGACCTCGATCTCAATCTCGATCTGGATCTCGCACACGATCATCATAAATATATTCCCGACCCTGTTGATATGTCCACGCGCCAACCACGCCAACCACGCATTAATTCCCTACCCAACAGCCACCAGACCCCCAACACCTTTGACGCATCCCCCTCATACCCCTCCAACATGTCAGCCTACGCACTTGCACCGCAACCTTCCCACTCATCCGCGGCTCCTCCGACTATTTCCAAAAACCCCAATCCGGATAACATAGAAATACGCACGAAATTCCCCGTGGCGCGCATCAAACGCATTATGCAAGCAGATGAGGAAGTGGGGAAAGTAGCGCAGGTTACGCCGGTGGCAGTGAGTAAGGCGTTGGAATTGTTTATGATAAGTTTAGTGCAGGGAGCGGCGAGGGTGGCGAGGGAGAAGGGGGGGAAGAGGGTTACGGCGGGGTGTTTGAAGAGGGTGGTGGAGGGGGATGAACAGTTTGATTTTTTGAGTGAGATTGTGGGGAAGGTGCAGGATAGTGTGGCGGTGGCGAGGGAGGTGAAGGAGAAGGAGAAGGAGAAGGATAAGGAGGTTAAGGAGAAAGAGGTGAAGGAGGGGGGGGAGGGAAGTGGGAGTGGGAATGGGAGTGCGGCGGTGGTGACGGCGGGGAGGAAGAGAAAAGTGGTACCGGTTGTGTCGAGGAAGAAGGAGGAGGGGAGTGGGAGTGAGATGGATGTTGATGTTGATGTTGATGTTGAGGTGGAGGAAACAAAAAAGAAAGGGAGGGGTAAGGGAAAGGGGGGAAGAAAGAAGAAGGTTGAAGATTCCATATAAATTGATCGGTCTCTACAACCATTTGCGATAATGGTCCCAAGAGAAGTTTTGCAGTTGCTGTTGCAGTTGCTGTTGGTGGTGGTTTTGCTTTCGCTTTTGCTTTTAGCTGGATGGACGGATAGCTGGACAAATGGCTGGATGGATGGATGGACGTCTGGATGGCGAACAGGCGTTAAATGGACGGTCGGACTAGCATTATACACATTATACACACACTATACACATTATACATACCGATATACAATGGTGCTCCGCTATGCGGTGCTATACTATGCTATGCGGTGCGGTGGCTGTTCGACCTTTTGACCCTTTTTTTTACACGCTGGCACACTGGTAGTTTAGTGGTAGGAATGAATATGGCAGGGGCCTCTCTATATAATAATAATAAGACAGCAAGCTCTCTCTATATCTATCTGTGATCTGGATTCTACTTAGATGCTGTTGATGTACTCGTATATCATTTGATATAGAGTACTGGTATGTGTTGTGGGTATATGCTGTGTGTGGTATGTGTTGTGAATGATTGGCTAGATCTATGTTGTACTCGAGTATTATTTTATATATTTTTTGTTGTGTTTTTTATTGTGTGTTATATTGTGTTATATTTTATCATTTTATTTCATTTTATAGTAAATCTATTTTACTTGAGTAGTTTTATCTCTATCTCTATCTCTATCTTTGCTATGCTATCTATACTATCTATACTATACTATGTTTTTCTTATATTTCTTATATTTCTTATATTTCTTGAATTTCTCATATCTATCTCTATCTCTATCTATACTATACTATCCATGCTATACTATGCTTTTGTTATAATACTAGTATATTTCTTGAATATTTTTTTGGCTTTCTTATATTGTTGTTTTGTCGTTTTCTTGTGTAGGGTTTATTGTTGTGTTACATAGGGTTTATGGTATTGAAAAGTAAAGAGTAAAAAGTAAGTAGTTAGGAGAATGGAGAATGGAGTAAGGAGTAAGGGGAGGGAGATGGGGGAAGGGAGAGGGGGGTAAAAAGAGAGGGGGGAGGGGGAGGGGAAAAGGGAGTAAGGAGGAAGGAGTAAGGAGAGAGGGGGGAAGGAGGAAGGAGGAAGGGGGAAGGAGAATGGAATATGGAGTATGGGTGATGAGTAAGGGGAGAAGGGGGAGGGGGGAGGAGGAAGGAGCATGGATTGAGGATTGAGGATTGAGTATTGAAATGTAGACTATGATATAATTTGATATATGTGATGTAACGACGTGATGTAATGAAATACAGGGCGGGACAAGAACAGGATACAGGATATGATGGTATGGTATGGTATGGTATGGTATGGTATGGTATGGTATAGTAATTGGAATATAATAACTTGTAAGTAAGTAAGTAAGTATTATGTTACTGTCTGTGATGTGTGTGATTACTGTGATGAGAGGCGGGTTGGAATTGGAGAGTTGGTTGGTTGGTTATAGGGGGGAAGAGGGGGGAAGAGGAAGGGAGAAGGG